CTTGAAAGAAATTCAGGTATAATTTGAAAAAAAAACAAACTTGAACGCCATTGGTCGGATAACTTTCATTGAAAAGTATTTCGAATTTGGAGAAGCTTAAGAAAACGATTGTGACAAAAAAGCAGCTTCATAAAAAATCTGTCACTCAAAAGTGCGAAAATATTATGAAGTGAATATTTCCAACCAAACCAGCCACAGTTATTATTTTTATAAAATGCATACACACGGAAACAAATGATCAAAAAGATCCGGGTATGCGTAATGAGGTGACGTCTTGGGCGCCATTTTCAAGGGCTTAGAACAATCTGACGCACTCTCCAGTGCATCGGTTTGCTCCTCAAGGTGTGTACCATTCCTGTAGTAATGAAATTTAGAATAACTGTTTAGGCGGTTGTGCTTTACCATACTCCCTAACAACAAAACCAATTTTTCAATGATTGATGCAGTTCAAGGCAATATTGCAGCGCATAACGGCATATTTTGGTTGTCCTTTTTTACACGGTAAATAAAGTGAAACTATTAGGCTCAAAATTATTCATTTTATCACAGCTGTAACACGATGTCCGAAGGCATTTGTGTTGTGTGTGCTTCGTTCGATTACCTTATTTTAGCAGACATTGGCCAAGTGGCGTACTTGTCTACATGCGTCTCGTCGTATAGTATTGTGCTTATTATTTTAGAATTCCTTGGTTTTCCTGCCATTGCTGATACAATGTCACATAGCAAGTTCTTGCTTTTTGAACTGTTTCTTTATTCTCGATTGACAAATTTTTTAAATGAAACAAGTTACGTTTAGGCTGTGTTTTTCACTAAACTGAGATCCCTCGAAGGCTCCTTATTCGTAACGAAGTCAGCTGCACAATAGTACTCATTCTTTGCTATTTATCCAATATTATGTCATTGCACGCGATAGATATTATAGCTTGCTGCACCTATATGTCAAAGTCATTAACTGTAGCTGACGCATTCGGAATCCGTACTTCAGTACATGCATCTTCTCCATTTTTCATTTGTATGAGCGCATCCTTTACGTTCCTAAATCGTAATTAGAACACCATCGATCTCTTTCGCTTGCAAAACATCTAGTTGAGATTGCAACAAGTTGGTCAAAGAAGCACAGTGGTTGATTGTGTCACTGCAGAGAACAAGCTCCGCCTCAGCGTGTTTTCGATAGCTCAGACGTCTACTGTCTCTCTGTTGTTGCTTCGCACTTGGCTCGGCGGGACCCGCGTAATGCAAGCAGGCTGTACTTCACGGAGCTTCCCCCCTCGTATGGCAATGAAGGATCGCCGTTTCTCTTCTCGCTCATAATTGATTTTAAAGCATGAGAAAACACAATCAGAAGAAAATACACGGGTAAGAGCGCCTCACACAACTGGGCCGCGTCCTCTATTGTGATGGTGTTTTCCTGCGCCTCAGAATTAATTATGAACGTAGTCCAACTCACTCAACAAAACGTTATTTTAGGCGGGATTTCTTTTTTCATGTGTTTATGCAGGTCATGATACTTGGGGAAGGCTCCAACGGTGAGTAGTTATGGCTGGGCTACCATGTATGGGGTCCCTATATGCAGCGCGAGCCATGGAAGAGGAGCTGGCCGAGCAGTGCGATCCAACAATGCATTTTATTAGGCTGCCGCGTAGATCTCAGTGATAGTTTCCTGGTTTTATGTTAGTATGTTAGACTTACTCACCAATAATTTTCATAATCTAATGCACAATAATAACCCGCTACACATAGAAGCAGTTCATGGCTAGGAGCAGAAAAAAAGGTGTCCGAAAGGTTTAATAAAACATTATCAACGGGGCAGGGTCGCTTCATCTTTCGGAGGTCACTTGAAGATTGCATTAGGCTAACATCTGGGCGAATACCAGTCCGTAGGGATCGCCCGTGTCTTTTGAGGCACTCATTAACACATCAGCCTGACTAACCTACATACAATTCATCACAAGAGAGTGGGATCTTGCCCACAACTCCAGCGCTGCATTCTACAAAATTGTGTTACTTTTATTTCATGTTGCAGTTTTTTTTTATTTTCTTTACAATTAAAACTGCACCTCATCGGAAGTTTTCGGGGAGCAGAAGGAACTTTTGAAATTTGGTACCTAATGGCAAGATTCATAAACATGTGAGCAACTCTATCGTAATAAGGCGCAACTCACAGGCTTCTTGTTTGTTTTAGTATTCCACTTCTGGCGCTTGCCTTTGAGCTTCTGAAGCAGAACCTCGGATGCTTACGTGGGTACCACAGATAAATCACGTGGGTTCCGCAACCAATGTGTGGTAGTTACTTGAGTCTAGTGTGCGTGTCAGTCTCATTAACACGTACAACTACATGTAGTAGAGTCAGACCGGTATGCTAATGAGCGCCAACAAGAGCGATCCCTTTCTATTGTTATTGGATCCGATTCAGCTGAGAGCTTCAAGAAGTACGATGGTCGAGCCTTGTTTAGGCTGAAGACTGTCTCAAAGATGAAGGTATTCGCAGAAATTAGCAAGTGTGAATTAGCAACAATTCCACAAATCAGGGACAGCAGAACATAAGAAATGGCTGTACTGAACTCACACGTGTTTTGTTCTCCTTAGTCGTTCTCATTACGTTGCGTTTAATGTTGCCTACAGAACTGAACAAGTAGTGAAACAGTATTTTAAATAAAACGCTACTAGAGTTAAGCACAACTCATCTCGAGCAAACAACAGATCACCTCTTTCTTCACTTGGGCTTCTCTCTGCAATATATCTTCGCTTATCCTACAAAAATTTGACCCGCCGCAGTGGTCTAGTGGATAAGATACTCGGCTGCTTACACAAAGGTGGCGGGCTCGAATCCTGGCTGCGGCGGCTGCATTTCCGCTGGAGGTGGAAATGTAGGCCCGTGTGCTCAGATTTAGTTGCACGTTAAAGAACCCCAGGTGGTCGAAATTTCCGAAGCCCTCCACTATGGCGTCTCTCATAATCATATTGTGGTTTTGGGACGTTAAACCCCACATATTAATCAATCCTACAAACATTAAGACGTGCTCTTCCTTCTCTTGTTTTAAAAACTTTGAAATCGCCAAAAAATTGAGGCAGAACTACCGAATGCTGCATATTACCCGGGTACAGGAGGCTTGCACACTGAAATGTTGCACAGTGGTTCACGTCGGTACGACTGGTAACATTAACGTGTTTTACCTTCGAGAGCGAAATATATGCTACACAGCGTATATAACGAAGTACTTCAGCTACATCGTGGGTGGAGCATCGAAATGCTTTGTGAAATCTGAGTATAGTGATCTGTACGACGGGTGCTAAGATATCTTGCAATAAATGGACTTTTTCGGAAAGAGCAAGCTTTCGTGTTCTATAAAAGATTTCTTTTTGTGGTGCACGCTTCACGATTTCGCCAGATTTTCTTGACTTGGGCCATGGCCAGCCATTACACCACTCCTGGACTCGCTCAATCTTGTGCAAGAGTAAAAGGGTTGTCCCAGTCTTACTACGGGCTTTTTTTTTGGCGAACACAGGCGCATGCATCAAAGATTGAGCAGGAATCAAAGCACGCAGCTAGCCAGAGCGTTCAATATTTGGCTGCTAGTGGCTATAAATGAGCCATGTGGATGCTCTCCAGTGCACAAGTATTTCCGCTTCCGTACACCAGGGAGTCTACTGCGGCCGATTGAATATGTATGGGCGCTAGAGAATCGTTGCAATGAATTATTGGTTCGTTTGTGCTTGGACTCTCCCATTCGGGCACTTCAGCCGTTACTAGGTATTGAACGTCTTGCTTCTTTTGAGGAGACTAAAAGGGACACAAAGGTCTCTTTTTGTTATAAAGAGGCTGCGTAGTGGCAAATGTCTTGTACTATCTTATGCAGCGTTCATTAATGACAGTTTCTCTTATTCAATGCATTAGGTCATTCACTTGAGTTTGTGATAGAAACAATTTTTTTCTCGCCATGAAGTTTTGGCTATGGGCGGTAGAGTCGGTGAAACGGACCAACAGCTGCTGGTGCGCAATACAAAAAACGTAAATCTCCACTTTTTTGAGAATTCCTTCTCAATCTACATTCTAGAACAGAGATGAGATGTGGTTCGTCGTAATTGTTGGCATTGTATTGCATTCGGTGGAGGCATTGTGGACTATGTTAGGCCCCCATCGGAGCAAGTAAAGAGCATTTGGTTCTTGGTTCAGTAGACAATATTGAAATGGAACGAAGAGACAGTTAATGTCATAAATAATTGCACGTGGTATGAATTTATTGCAGCCATGAGAAGATGCTTAACGTCCACCTGCTCGGCAAGCCGCTACAGCCAGTGGAGCTTTGGACTAAGTTGCCCACTCACTCTAGTATCTAGTCAAACATTACCAACAATCGTTTATTATCTCTCTCTCTTGGTTGTACATTGGTTGAGATGCATTTTCAAGAAGGCGGAATACTTTTGGGTCGTGTACTCTTCAAATATCAGTGCACATAAAAACAACACACCAGATGATCGATGCATCTGCCACCCTCCCCTGAGGTGTGCGTCGCATATATATCGTGATTTGGTGCCAGTAAAACTAATAAATATGACTTTCAGAATCAACATATTTGCACAGCGCAAAACTACGAGTACTTACGTGGTGACTACGAAGAAAAAGACAAAAGGACAGAAAAAAGCACTGATTTGAACTGAAATTTTATTGGTGAAAACAGTGGAATTATATACTCGTAACCAAAACCAGCACATCACAGCATAATGCGCAACCTATTGCGTCACAGCTGTGGTGTTCGCGATAGCACACCTGATAACCGAACTGTCGTTAGTGCGCATGCGCCCACTAGTGCTTAAATGGTAACGCTCAAAGCACTGTCTTCCTTTCCCGTGATGTAACCCCAGTCGTACGCTTCGGCAATAAACGCTGTTGTTTGCCCGTTGGACCCTTGGCCTTGTCAGTCCCTGGACGAGATTCAACACTGGCGACGAGGATGGGATGAAAAATGAAGAGTAGCGAGCAGTGTGGTGAAGAAGCGACAATGCGGTCTGGTGAGCAGCTGGGCCAGATGGTGAGCAGAGGGCAGCTGGGCCAGATGGAGTTTGTGCCAGATGGATTATGGAAAGTTTGTGCCTAATCTTTCAACAATGGCTGTGCCTTTTTACCAGCTTTTACGGAAAGACGCTCCTTGGTGTTGGGACGACTGCTGCCGAGACGCGTTCAACGAAGTTAAAAGAATGCTGTCATCGCCGCAGGTGCTGGCCCACTACGACCCGGATAGGCCATTAAAGCTGGCCTGTGACGCATCGCAGTATGGGGTAGGTGCAGTGCTCTCCCATGTTTTTGAGGACGGGAAGTCTAGGCCAGTTGCTTTTGCTTCGCGCACGCTTTCCGAGGCAGAGAAGAAATATAGCCAGCTTGAAAAAGAGGCGCTGGCCATAATCTTTGGCATAAAAAAGTTTCACTGCTATATTTATGGCCGCGCATTCACTTTAATCACTGATCATAAACCCTTACAGCAAATTTTGGGGCCAACAACAGGTATTCCGCCTATCGCGGCTGCGCGCCTACAGCGGTGGGCTGTGACGTTGTCGGCATACAGATACGACCTTCTTTTTAGAAAATCAGCCGATAACGCAGAAGCCGATTTTTGCTCCCGTTTGCCGCTACCATGTGTGAAAGACGAAACGCAGGAGTCGGAAGAGACTTTCTATTCATTGCGGCTGGCCTCCCTACCAGTGTCGAGCAAAGGAATTGCCCATGCCACAGAGCAGGATAACGATCTGGCGAAAGTAAAAGAGTGCATAAGCACAGGCTGGCCAATATTTGTCAATGACCATAGACTGAAACAATACTTCGCCAGACGCAATCAACTGACATTGCATGGAGGATGCATTTTGCTGGGAACGCGGGTAGTCATTCCCGCAAAGCTGCAGAGAGCAGTTCTGGCCGAATTACACGAGGGTCACCCAGGTATAGTTCGCAGCAAGGCGCTTGCGCGTAGTTACGTCTGGTGGCCGTCCATCGAGGGGGACCTTGAGCGTATGGTGCAGTCATGTACAGATTGCCAAGAACAGCGCAGTGCCCCTTGCAAAGCTCCGTTGCACCCTTGGGCCTGGCCCTCAGCGCCGTGGCAGCGCATACATATAGATTTTGCAGGACCATTTCAACAGTCAATGTTTCTTATAGTGGTCGATGCTCACTCGAAGTGGCCCGAAGTTTTTATGATGCGTTCAACTACTGCAGATGCAACAATTGAGTGCTTACGAGATGTTTTCGCTCGTTTTGGGTTCCCTGAGACAATCGTGTCGGATAACGGCCCACAGTTCACGTCAGAGGAGTTCAAGCAGTTTGTAAGGGAGATGGGTTGCCGACACGTGCAAACAGCCCCCTACAATCCCAGCACCAATGGACTTGCGGAGCGTTTCGTACAGACCCTGAAGAACGCGCTAAAAAAGGATGACGTGCATCAACCTATGAAGGTAAAGCTCAACAAGTTTCTGCTCGCTTATCGCAACACGCCCCACGCTACGACACACGAGGCACCAGCCAACTTGTTGTTGGGGCGACGTTTGCGCACCCGCCTCGATGTACTCAAACCCGCCGTGGGGGAAAGGGTGGCTTACAATCAGTTCAGACAGACGGTGAACCGACAGTGTCGTGTGCGTGACGTGAGTGTTGGTGATCATGTACTTGCACGAAATTACAGGGGACAGCCCAAATGGGTACCAGCTGTGGTGATGGCTCAAAGTGGACCAGTGTCTTTCAGGGTACGAGCGTCGACATCTTCAGGATGCTTCGAGTGGCGGCGCCACAAGAACCAGCTACTTCAAGGCACGGCAGGGCTTGCCGAAGACGTCGCGCAAGACGACGGTTTCTCCGTGTGGCCACAGAGTGACACCGAACCGGAGCCAGCACCTTCATTGCCTGCAGCTAGGGTTTCGCCTTCACCACCGACGTTGCTGACAGACACTTCTCGAGGCGACCTGGATCGGCGCTACCCGCTACGAAATCGCCGACCGCCTGATTGGTTCTGAGAGGGAACGTGAACTATTAGCTTCCGAATAAAAGCAGAGGAAGTGTGGTGTTCGCGATAGCACACCTGATAACCGAACTGTCGTTAGTGCGCATGCGCCCACTAGTGCTTAAATGGTAACGCTCAAAGCACTGTCTTCCTTTCCCGTGATGTAACCCCAGTCGTACGCTTCGGCAATAAACGCTGTTGTTTGCCCGTTGGACCCTTGGCCTTGTCAGTCCCTGGACGAGATTCAACAACAGCCAAAAATTATTTTCTCATTTATGTGGGTACAACACCACACCTCTGCGCAAAATCACAATCTATTGCTTCAAAGCCACATAATTGATTTCTTTTTAGTGAGTGCAACCGAAGTCATGCTGATACATATATCCCCGAGAAAGCTAACACGTGAGATTATTGAGGTCAATCAAATGCAAATGCTGAGTAATGTATGTCATGTTTTTTATTGCACTCGTTAAAAAAAGAAATTGACGATATGGCTTTGACACAGTATATTTTCAATTTGTGCTCAGGTGTGTTATTGAACCCAATTGAACAAGGTAATATATTTCTGGTTGTGACCTGATAAGTTGTGCGATTCTGCATTGATGTGCTGGTTTTTTTCACGACTATTTATTCCAGCGTTTTCGCTAATAAAATTTCAGTTGAAGTCGGTGCTGTTTTCGGTCCTTGTCTGTTCTTGCGTTTGTACGCCGTGACTATTTGTAGTCTTGCGCTGTGCAAATATGTTCATTCCCAATCACCAACTAGCCCAAGCATCTGTCTTATCAAGTTTATTTTTAGAAGATGCTTGCTGTGAGCACTTGCAGCTGTGAAGTGCTGCCCTCTTTTGATTATGGTTTAGGTAGGAAACACAAGTGAGTACAAAAATTGGCATGCTCAGAATAGAGCACAGGGTGATGAATATATAGTTCGAGCACTAGCTGTTTAACAAGGAAACTCAAATAAACAAAAAACTAACGCGACAGACACCAACACTAATCATGCGCAGAAAATACGTTGCACCAGAGAAACGCTTCAGCGTGCGTAGTTTGCATTATAGAAGATTTAGTGAACAAACAGACGGTTATTTAAATTTTATCACCCTTCTTTTTGATAGAGAACGTCATTATGTGCTTAAGAGCGCACTTTTGATTCTGCTTCAGTGAAATGGCAGTGCTAGTAAAAAATTGTTTTTGTACGTGTTTATGCTTTTACATTTACATAGTGACACATTTGCATAATTGTTGTGATGTAGGTATATGTTTACCTACAGTTTTTTTTTCCAATAAAGCTATTAACAAGCCTTATTGAATAGTTATTCGGCATTTTTCTTTGGCAGACGAGTGTGGGAGAGCGGACTTTTTATTCCACACTCCATGGAGGATGCATGATGGCTTTTCGTTGTTCCAGCTCAAGATTATGTACAGGTCCTTGAGTTGCAGCTCTTTTAAGAAGTTTTAAGAAGATTTCAATTCTCTTACCAAAGTCAAGACTGTACATAATGAATTGCCTAGACCACTTGGAATATTTAGGACTTTAGAGGTATGTAACTGAGTACGCAAATTGATGTACACCAGTGATCTCTAATTGTGTTTCATTTCTCCCCTCTTTCATAAAATGTAGTAAACCTTCGTTATTGTGGTATGCACTGCTTCAATTTTCTCGGTCGCTGATGTGTTGCTATATATTTTCTGAGAAGTGGCAAGCTCTTTAATTTATCAACGCGCATTTCAGGGTATTTACCGTTGCTGCGTGAAAATGTAACGAATAAGTAAACTTTACACGCCTTTACATGCCCTTCTATGACTATAGGAAAACACGAGTCTTAATTCAAACTCATGCATCCTGTAGGTGCCCTAATTAGGTATATTTACAAGACTGTGCTTTGTTACGGCGCACCTATGTGCAAGTAGCGATGTGTAAAAATCTAGTGAAAACACCCGTAACGTGATCAAGTGAAGGGGACTTACCGGTGCAAACTGTACTGCACCGAATCAGACCTACTGATAGCCTTCAAGTCGCTGTTAGAATACAAGTCGCATAAAAGCCTTAATTTATGGAGTGTGTGTGTTCTGTGTTATTTCTATAAAAGTTTGTTTACGACAACAAGACAATGTCATATTCACTTAGATGTTCAGAAGCTTCGGAACAAGAAAACATAAAAGAAAGCAGTGGTAAATTTTTTTTGCGTGGTGTTACCATGATTTAATAGATTTCACTTGAAACAGAAATGCCCCCATAAAAACCAAAACACGCTGGTGCAGATCAGTAGGCCACCTCACTTGGGCAGTGGTTATGGTACATGGCTACAGAAGCCTTATGGGAGGGTCCAATCAAGGAGGCCCCGGCCTTTATGGTGCAATTTCAGTAGAATATATAGGTGCGAAAGTTGTGCTGTGTAGCCTGCACTAATATCAAAGAGCATCAGATGGCTGAAATTTTTCCGCCCTCCTCTACCGCATGCCTCCCAATCACAGCTTCTTCCGCAGTTTTTATCATTGTTCGGCAGCCTTGAAATGAACAAACAAAATGAAAACTCAGCAACTAAAAAGGAGAATGATTGAATGATCAAGTTTTAGCGGGGGAGGGGGGGAGGCTTTGTTTTATTAGCTGTTGTCTAACATGACAAATTGACAATTCGAACTAACACAGTAATTACATGGTGAAACAAATATAACAAAAGTTAATCAGCCATAAGACTGGTCGCCTTATTGCCCCTTTAGAAATGTAACTAACCACAAAAGCGTATTCTCAAATGTTTAGGATTCATGAGCGATAGGTTGAAGCTACTTACGGTCTCTGTAAAAAGGGGTCCGGGACTCAGATGTGACACCTTTTTAAGAGTCCAGTAATGAAAATTCCTGGCTGCGCTACTGCTCAGACTGCTTCTGCACGTTTCCACCAGACTTCAGACAAGCAGGAGTCGATGTCCTTCCAATGCAGCGAACAAGGCAACTGAATCACTTTTGCGGCAGCCAACTCGACCTGTGCAACGGGTGTCTTCCAAACTCGAGACCCACATTTCTTCGAAACTGGCTTTGAATGCTCAGCTTTTTTATTGCAGCGTTTTTTACAGGTGCCATTGAGGCTGCCAGCTCAGTCCGTTCTTCATTCGTTGTTGTTATTTCTATTAAAATTTATGTACTTTTGAGAGGATCCTCAAGTAACTAGGTACCTAAAGGTCACCTATTGTGGTCAATGCGCTGCGCCTGTCACCAAAGATTTTTCCTCTTGTTCTTTTCATTCACGCATCATACCGAAGTCAGCACTGCAGCACCACCAAGTTCCACGCACCAACGCACAAACAGGTTTGCGAGGCACTTCTGGTTGGTTCCAGGTGAGGAGGGACTATTTGAGGACTTCAGTGTTTTCGCTTTGTTCATCGCTACAGATAGCCGTACAACGGCTAGTTGAAGGCGAACCATAATAACACGCTTAGTTTTGTCGATAAGTCCTTCTACTGCTCCCAGGCGTTTTAAAACAGTTCATGCGGCGGGGAAATTTTAGTGGCCCCTTCACCACGTTCGTGCTTCGGGCGTTCTTTTTGAGCAGCCTCACTTTTGCGCCCCTGTCGTTTCTCCTTCTCCAAGAAATGAGAAGAACGAACGTCAAGTGTATAGTCTCACAAACAATAGCTATGTCGTCCAGCTCAACTTGCGCAGCTTTCTGAGAATTCCTCATCATGCTTACGTGTAAGTCCGGTCAACGAGCTGGCATATAGATCTTCTCAGGGTCATCTCTTGATCATCTACAGTAAAATGTATGAAGGCAGCAAGCGAGTATTCTAATTACCTCATTTGTGAATATGCCCGAATATTTTTCTTGTAATAATCATTATATTGTCAGCATCCGACCCAGCCTCTAGATAGATTTCGCAGACGCTTTTCTGGCTTCCTGTCTCGCGTCTTGTGTTTAGCGTCAATAAAAGCAAGTATCGAAGTCACAACAGTGTATGTGCATCGTAAATCTGCGAATCTGTCTTTTATGAAATGTTACCAACTATACTGAACAGGACATTCCGTATTACTAACTCGCAATTTGAAATTGGACAACTGGGAAATTAGTACACAAATTCTTTTCTTTTGCAGTGAATTAGTACCAATTATTGAAGTAATAAATAAACACGGCTATAAAGCAAATATTCTCATGCAATGCAGGTGATTTAACACTGGCAATATCGACGTGCCTTGAGTTAAAGTCTCCGAGAGATAACGGTGGTAATAGAGATAGTAAATTTTATGCCCGAGCAAGTGATACTGAATTCGGTTGACGTCTTCTTTGCTGCGTTGAATTTAGCTGCAGTAGGTAAACAACATCAGGTTCCCTGTGAATAAGCTTGCAGAGTTACTCTGCAAGATTATTCTACAAGGAGTAGAAGATCAGCAACTTTTCCAATAAGCTTCAAGTTACTTTGCGAGTTTATAATGATGACTATAAGGAATACCGTAATAAAAAAAACCTAACTTCTATGCACTCTCTCCGAGCTCTCTCGTGCCTCTGTGGCTCCCATATAGTCGTGCCGGCCCCTGCGAGAAACATTTAGCGCATTACGTTGGGTAGTGTTGAGTTCGGCTTCAGGTGACACCTGTCACCTATGAAATCTTCCCGACTACGAACTAGACTGTTGATGCAATAACTGGCATTGTGCATGTTTCATGTCTGAAGCCCTCCAATAGCTGCATGTCCTTCTAACCGTAACAAACACCGGGACGGTGCTTCGCAGATCGGAGTAATGCCAGGGGTATACAAAGGTATCTCTGGCACGGGCACCTAAATTACCCCGAAGGAATGAAAGCAACGATGTTCTTGTGGCACTGAGTTTGAGCTGCCCTGTTGTCGTGCGTTTCTGTGCGCTCTGTGCAGTGTTTAACTGACCGGTGTCAATGTAATAAACACTTCCCGCAACAGTATACAGTATAATAGTTCGCACAATAATTTCATTTCATTTCATTTCATTTCATTTTATTACCTTAAAGACCCCATTGAAGGGGCATTACATAAGGGGTGGGTACATTA